ACACAAGTTAAATTATTGTGCATGCTTTCGTGAAATAAAGAAAATGACTGAAAAGGGTTCTAAATGAACTCAAACTAATTATCCATGAATTTAACGTCAATTTTTCAGAACAATAGTATAAGAAGTCATATTAGGTTATGACTAATTTAAAAGAATCAAAAACTGATATGACTCATTTAAAGGAAACCCATCATATAAGAGAGACTAAAAAGGAAAATTACACATAACCTATAAACAATTTAAAGGTAAATCGAAGGTTTCTAAACCAGATATCACCCTCAGATTCATTTCCATCAATAGCAACACAAGCAGTCAGAATGTGCTGTCCTTGAACATAACAAGACTGCTTAAATGACTGCCTGAAAGGGTTACAATGCGTCTGCAGACCCATGCCAGTGCATGCTTCATACTCACACACCTTTAGCAGAGTGTGAGGACCAAATTCAAAGGACATCAAGGCACAGATGTTCATGCAGTTCACACAAACTGTACTCTGTGGACTGTAGCCAAGGCAACGGCAGACCACTGACAAACACCTTATTGGTTTCATGGAGTGACTGTTGGCCACCGTGTCAAAGAGCATCGGGGGGGGGGCTGTTTGTGTGTGCGAGGGAGATTTCTCACTGGGCACTAATGAAAAGAATTCATCATTCTGGCTGCTGCCTCTTTATCACTGATTCCTGAGGACCACAAACAGATACACACGCCCAAAGTTATGTCTCACCATCCTTACGGGGATTTTGCAATGGCTTCCATTGATTTGCATGGCCTAACCCAGACCCTTTCCCAAACTCTACCCATTACCAATACATAGCTAATCCTAACACGTCAGTGCCTACAAGTGCAACATATTCCTGGGAAACTTTTATTACACTGTTCCCACAAGGTAACCTATACTTGGTCACTCACACACATCTAGCAAAGCCCTCTAATTGATGCAGCCAGAAAGAATGTGTGTCTGCATGGTTGGGGATCTTCTGCATGGGGGGTAGAAGATAACATATAAAAACATTCTTCCAGTTTCCTCAGATGTCAAATCGTTAAAAGACACACATAAAAACACAGAGCCAGCATATCTAAAGTGTGTGTTCTAGCATGTGAGCTCAGCATATAAAAACAAGCTAATCTGCTCATTGAGTATTCAACAAACCAAATGTTTTCCTTAGGGGGGCACTTAAGAAAGTAATTATTATTCTCACTGGAGGTAACAATGATCTGGTCCTGAACCTCTCTTTTAATCTCTGCTTAGCTTCTGCTCTAACCTATCTTATGGTTTATTTTTCTTTAAAAAATCAGCCTTTCCTCGATCAATATTACAAATATTTTAGATATATAATTTTTTTGTATATACATAATACATACAGTACATAAAACATGCGATGTGTATCCATATTTTGGGATAAAGTGTAAGTCTAAAAAGTGTAATAGTGTAATCATCCTCAAGTAATATTTCTATAATATTTAACAACATTGTTTTAAAATATGTGATTCATCTGCTGAACAACAGTTGGAATTATAAAAAAAAATTGAAAACTACCAATATATAAAACACAGTGCACATTAGCAGAAATGCAATCCAGGAATACACAGATAATCTGCACATGGATAAATGCACAGGTTCTGCACATTGTGACTTTACTATGACTGAGAGAGTACAGAAAGTAAAGAAAACAGGAAAATAAAGCCCATCAAAACAATTACCGTATTTTCACGACTATAAGGCGCACCTAAACGTCTTTTTTTTCCCTCAAAATGTGGGGTGCGCCCTATGGTGCGGTGTGCCCTATGGTGCGGTGCGCCCTATCTGCGGACGTTGTTGAGACCACCATGAGTATGTGAGAACCTTAAAGGGGGGAGTGTGGGCGTGGCTTGTGTATAAAAGAACAGGTATGTGCTTTATGCAGAAAATTGTTGTCTCAACACATCCTGAAATTGGCAAAGAGACACGCCTATGAAGCCCAGTTTAAACTGAAGGCTATCAGCTACGCAGAGGAACATGAAAATCGAGCAGCTGCGAGAGAATTCAATATAAATGAATCGATGGTTCGCAAGTGGAGGAAGCTGGAAAACGAACTCCGACTGGTGAAGTAGACGCAGCTGAGTTTCCGCGGACATAAGGCGAGGTGGCCCGAGTTGGAGGAAAGACTCGAGCGGTGGATCGTGGAGCAAAGAACGAGTGGGGCCAGCGTTTCAACGGTCACTGTTCGACTAAAAGCAGTAAAGCTGGCGGAAGAAATGAAAATTGAAAATTTTCAAGGAGGTCCATCGTGGTGCTTCCGTTTTATGAAACGGTGCAATTTTTCCATCCGGACCAGGACTACAGTTGCTCAGCGACGTCCGGCGGATTATGATGAAAAGCTGGCGAGCTTCCACTCCTTCTGTAGCAAACACATCGCTGACAAAGTCATCCAGCCAAGCCACATCACCAACATGGACGAGGTGCCGCTCACTTTCGACATCCCGGTGAATCACACCGTGGAGAAGAAGGGGACCAGCACTGTAGCGATACACACAACGGGGTATGAAAAGGCGTCGTTTACTGTTGTGCTTGGCTGCCACGCAAATGGACAGAAACTGCAGCCTATGGTGATTTTTAAAAGAAAGACTTTGCCTAAAGAGGCTTTCGCAAAAGCCGGCATCATTTCCAAGGAGCCGCCCGGCATGGAAAGTGACTCTGACAGCGAAGAAGAAGGGGAAACTGTCGGATTTAGCGCAGCTGTTTAATTCAGAAACAGAGGATGAGGACTTTGAGGGGTTTGATTAATACTCTGTAATAAATACTTGAATAAAGCACAATAATACTCAGTTTTGCTCCCGCTCTATTTTTCTACCTGAAAACTTAATTCAACAGCAGCCTCTGGGCCGCGGCGCATCCGGGCTCACCTCGGCAGGTGTTTTTTCATCTAAATCTTTTTAAGTGAGAAAGTCCACCTGAAAATTTAATCATTGCAGTCAGTTCATCCAGATTATTGTCCTGCCTATGTTTTAAGTTAATTTATGTGTCAATAAACGAAGAAGAAGGGGAAACTGGCATGTCGGATTTAGCGCAGCTGTTTAATTCAGAAACAGAGGATGATGACTTTGATGGGTTTGATTAATACTCTGTAATAAATACTTGAATAAAGCACAATCATACTCAGTTTTGCTCCCGCTCTATTTTTCTACCTGAAAACTTAATTCAACAGCAGCCTCTGGGCCGCGGCGCATCCGGGCTCACCTCGGCAGGTGTTTTTTCATCTAAATAATCTAAATCTTTTTAAGTGAGAAAGTCCACCTGAAAATTTAATCATTGCAGTCAGTTCATCCAGATTATTATCCTGCCTATGTTTTAAGTTAATTTATGCGTCAATAAACGAAGAAGGGGAATCTGGCATGTCGGATTTAGCGCAGCTGTTTAATTCAGAAACAGGATGAGGACTTTGAGGGGTTTGATTAATACTCTGTAATGAATACTTGAATAAAGCACAATCATACTCGGTTTTGCTCCCGCTCTATTTTTCTACCTGAAAACTTAATTCAACAGCAGCCTCTGGGCCGCGGCGCATCCGGGCTCACCTCGGCAGGTGTTTTTTCATCTAAATAATCTAAATCTTTTTGAGTGAGAAAGTCCACCTGAAAATTTAATCATTGCAGTCAGTTCATCCAGATTATTATCCTGCCTATGTTTTAAGTTAATTTATGCGTCAATAAACTGTATCAGAGGAGTAATCGCAGCCCTGTGTCATCAGCGATGTGTCTCTCACGGCCGGTTCCCATGGTTTGAATAATACTTTGTAATAAATACACCTTGCAGCTTTATTTGCTGTGATCATAAAGTAGTTTTAATATGTTTTTAAGTGGGAAAATCCACCTGAGAGGACATGTACCTGTATATAAAAAACGCGCCCTATAGTCCGGTGCGCCTTATGTGTGTGTTAAATACAGAAATGGCACACATAACTGAGAGTGCGCCTTTTAGTCCGGTGCGCCTTATGGTCGTGAAAATACGGGTAATAATTTTTTGCACCAACTTCTAGTGGCAGCTCGCACAACCCTGGGGTGCACGCACCACACTTTGGGCATCCATGTAATAGATCATGGCATTTATAGTATTTTCTGAAGGTTAGAGTGAACCTGAAAAATTCTATAAGAATGTTTAACTTTCATCAGCTTCAGAAGTTTATGTTCCTATTATTTGAAAGTTAGCCTAAACTTTATAACTTGAGTCAAAAAATACTACACAAGTTTAATCCAGTTTGCTTGGATAATAATTGGTTCCTCTTGACAAATCTAATGTAACCAAGTCAAATTTATAAACCCTATTCCACCCATTAAACTCCCTAAAACTCTTGTCAAACATTTTCTATACGATGACCACTTCAAAACATTTACCTTGTTTTTTCTTCAACAATTTATACCAAATTCGAAACCTCAGGAAGGGACATTGTCCATTTTGAAGACCCATATTTACCCGACCCTAAAGACAGATCCCATGAGATGTTGCCTCAAAAATCCCACATAGGAGTTATATCCTCAATACACCATCTATTTATAATGTGCAGAACCAAAGTCCCACACCACAGGAAAAATCATACAAAATGATAATTATCCAACTTTGCTTGGATACTTTTGATTTTTTTCTCGTCTTGTCACAGAGAACAGCATGTTTGAGATACTGCATCAGAACGTTTCCTGAGCTCACCTCACATCTTGCTTTTCTAAAGGTTTTTAAGGGCAAATTGATTTAAATGTATGTACATTTCTGTGAAAGGAAATTAATAATTAAAATTAAAAGTTCCACACACTTATACTGATATAGAAAAAATCTGTTATTTTGGTAATCCTAATGCACCTAAAACAGGAGATTTTCTGTCAGATTTAGTGTCAGAAAGAGGGGGAGATTATGCACTTTAGACCCTGAATTAATTATGCACTAGTTGTCTTTAAGACAGACATATAATCTCAATGTTGTAGTTATAAGATGGTTCATTTTATAACTAGTAGAGATTAAAAAGACTTACCTTAACTGAGTCTCTGTCTGAGGAGGAAAATTAAGGAGAGACAGAAAGAGAGAAATAAAATTAATTGAAGACTGAAAACAATTTAGGTTTATGTAAAACAACCACATATGTAACAAATAAAAGACACCGAAATCAAAAAGACAAAGCAGTTTTGACCAGATAAAACACCCCAACTACTGACTCTCTCTAGTGAAGATGTGAGAATATCTTTGAATTAATTGCTCTTCTATTCCGATGACAGAATCTCCCTGAAACTTTCATGTACATCTACAGCACTAAAGTTTTCATTTCTTTTACCTGCATTTCATTGGTCCAAAACATTTCTCTATCAAGGCTAACATATCTGCTGGCTCTTGGATTTCACAAATCTTGTGCACAAATCCTGTTGTTTACAAGATAATCATAATAATAAAACTCTTTCCAGCCATTGTAAGCACCCTAATAATAAACGCTTGCCTTTGTTCCAGTAATTCTCATGTTTTGCACTATGAAATTGTTATTTCTGAGACAAGGAACTCTCATTTTCACATGATGTTTGTATTAAACCTGTTGTTTAAAAAGATTAATGCTGCACCTTCAGATATTTAAACATGTTTGTTTTTTTTTCCAGGTATTAAGCATCTTGAGGTCCACTATTCTCTTCCTGGTATCTTGATGGATTTATTTCGATGTTTACATGATGTCACACAAGGAGGAAGTGAGGTAAGGTTTTATCTTAAAATATATTCAGAGGCGAATCAACTAAACTGTATCCAAAGCTTAAAAAGCCAGAATAAAATAATCTGAGCCAATTACTCTTTTGGTTCTCCAGCATTTAGATGGATCTAATTAGAACAGATGCTCTCCCAGACAGGCTCAGTATTACTCATTGTTTAACCCACACAGAGCCAGAATTACCTCTTGTATGTTCTCCGTTGTTCTCATGGTGTTTCCTCTCATCCTTAAGTGGCAGCTGGTGACTCAGTGCTGATGATAGAGCCAGCAGGCTGGCAGTACTGGCACCCGGGGGCAGAGGGGGCTGCAGACCTGCTGGATGGGGGGTGAGCGGGACTGGAATGGCATGACCATGGGAGAGGTGCTGAGCCTGGAGCTGGTGCTGCTGATCCACATACAGACACACATACAGACACACCCCTTACAGTTATCATGGGGAATGAAAATCTATAATATTGGCAGCAAACGTTATTTAAAGCACTTAGACTTTAACCTGACCTATGTTTCATAAAAATGTGGTTTTATGCCCTCAAAGTGTAAAACTAAATGAGAACACCCTCTTTTTGATATAAAATCCCTTCAAATGCCATATAGAATTGACTTCATAAGCGATGTTTGCACCATTAAATCCTAATCTGTTAAGTTCTCCAAGTTCTTCTTTACATTATAACATGACACTCTCATATGTTTTGAAAAATTTCTTGAACTTTCCACACTAAGTCCGTTTGCATTTGTATGTGTGTGTTAAACTCACTCCTATAATGGCGTTGAGTTCAGCCATGGTGACCTGCTTCGCTCTTTCAACCGCCTGCACCACCTGCTGTTGATGCTAACAGACAGAAATGAAGCAGGACGATTTAGAGTCAAATTAACTGGCAAAGTGAGAATGAGATCAGTAAAAACAGATATTTTAAATAAATATTTGTGGGGGGAAAACTTAGATCTACACTAAATTAGAATATTAAAGTACAGACCTTACTACTCTAAATTAAATCATAATTTACAACCAGGGCATCAAGCTGTTTCAAATGACTTAGAGTAACAAATGAAACCAGTTGCTCTACAGGAAACAGTTTAATAGAGGAGTAAATCTTAAAATAAATTAGGGTCTTTTGCTGATACAAGTCTAGGAAATCCCCCATTTATTATATAAAAACATGCTTTAAAATAAAATAGTGATCACTTGAAATAACCCATGTCTGTGTTTCTTTACCAGTTACAAAAAACACAAGCAACTGTGTTGAATAAACTAAATGAGCAGCTTCTCCGTTTTAGTTAAAACTGTAATCTAACATACTAACAGTGGCATGTCCGTAAAGTCATCAAATGCAGACTCTACCCTACCAGCAAGCTCAACTTATTAACTTATTAAGCACTTGAAAAAAAATATGTAAAATCAAGCAGGTGTGTCTACTCAAGTTTAAATATCAGAACTGAAACAAACGTATAGTTTGTTACCATCTTTGTAATTGTAGAAACAATGGATATAAATGTCAAACCAGAAATATATTATGCCATATATTTTCATTTGGTGTATGATGTTCATATCATGATAGCTTTTAATAAAAATGATCATAGAGTGAGAGTCTTATACAGGCCTATCCCTAGGTGTGAGTTATAAAATAAAACAATGTCTTTTAGTAGTCTGGGAAGTGATTCCTTAACTAGTTTGACTCTTTATTAGCTAAAAATCAAGTTTTGCTTTCATAAATACATATTCTGCCAAATTCTAATAACAATCACATACAAGATAAAAATGTTCCCATAGTTTAGAATGAGCTGTTTATAAATACATAACTGGCAGTGCACCTAATGGACGATGCCATTATGTGTCGCCATCTTTGAATACATTAGCTGAAAGGAGACAAACTTGTTTGTCTTGCATGTTCTACCTGTATATGAAGACTTGTCAGTGGAGGATAGATATAAAACACACAGGGCCGGATCTATCAAAGGTTTGCGTGTATTAAAACGTGAGCTATTTCACTGCGCACGCTAAAAAATGTACAAACTGATCTATCAACAGCGTGCTAAAAGGATTTGGTCTTTAAAACGTGCTAAATAGCGCCTCTTATCCATTTAGTACTTTTTCTGCAATGAATATGCAATATGGGGCGTTTACACGCAAAAGTGCGTCTTGTGGGAGGAGAACATGTAAATATATTAATTTAGCACTCGCAAAGTGATTTATCAAACCTGAAAGCAATTTTACTTACGGTATCTGACTCTATATTTAACACGCTTCAAAAGAAGGTGCAAATGGTCTGTATGCGTAATTGCGCACACATGGCAGCGGTTATTTCCGCAAAAAGGAGACATCGAAATGAAGCAAGGAGACGCAGAGAACGCATTTTTTCACTCCGTGTGAATATTTTTGGAATGAACGAGGAAACGATCATCAAAACATTTCGTTTATCCAGCATTGCCATTTTGGAGATGCAATTCCAGTGATTTGCTCCTCACAGAGCGTCAGCTGTACTTGTTCCTCAATGCTGGTCAGAGGCATCTCATCTACTGTGCCCCCTCCTGTTTTGTTCGCAGATGTTTTGTTATATGCCAGTTTTTCTTTGGTTCGCCTTCTAATATCCTGATATCTTCTTTTTACTTCATCCACTGTTCGCAAGGTTTCACCAACAGCGTTTACTTTATTACAGATTTGTTCACATATAGCGTTCCTCTGTGTGACAGGCACACTTTTTTGCTGTAGTTCACTTAAATGTTTGTTGGCTTCATCCACCAATACCTCCATTTCCATGGGGTCGAATTTCTTTCTGCGCTTTCTGCTGTCCAAACTCGCCATGCCGCAAACCACCAAACGCGCAAAACCATAATTTAAATAGAGCGTCTCCAACAGTTTTGCACCTGCCACCAGTTACGCAATCGCTCTTGTTAAATCACCCGCAAACCATGGTTCAGCCCCTCGCGCAAAATTCCAGTTTGCGAGCGCAAATTACTGCACGCAAAATTGGATCTTGATAAATCCGGCCCACAGTAGATAATTCTACTCGCTCTCTGAGTTGAAATGGAGTAACATCCAGACTCTTTGCCCAGAAAGAGGGAAAGGAAAATAACCATGAATAGAAAAAGAGGTTACAACTGGAAGATCAAGAGAGTCTACATCAGAGTACTGTATCTTTTAACAGGTGTAGACAATTCATGAGGGAGCAAAGCATCAAAACAGATGCAGAGTTTGCAGGCTTCCTGCTGGACATGTAAGTTAATTCAATATAACAATGAAATTTAAAGTTGCCCTTTAACATACAGAATACAGAAGGCATACCAGTAGGCACTTCTTTCAGCCATTTTTCTGGAAGATTTTCTATGTGATTCATTGTTTATTTTAGCTGATTTTTTTAAGGGTGATGGGAGTTAATGTCTTCCCTCTAGTCAGATAGAATAGACCAAAGTAATGCAAGTTTCTCATCGTAAATGATTTACTTCAGCTGAAAACATTTTTATGCTAAAAAATATATAATATGAAAATAATTAGGTGACGTTCTGCACTTCATTACTCAACGAGACAGTAGGAATGCAAACAGGATGTTGACTTCTCACATTAATGACGCTGTACAACTTCTGTGGTAGTTATGCACTTAACAGCAAAGTAGCAGAGCCCTTAGTCATTGCAATTCTTTTAGCACACCACTAGATGGGAGCAAATTTTCTGCAATAGAGCTTTAATTTAGAAAATTATGGTTTGCTTTTCCAATAGAGATGAGTATTTAGTTTTTTATTGAATTTTAAAGACTGTTTAATAAGATCTTTGTGTGTCCTTCTGGTTTTTGAATTATGTTTAGGCTGATAGAACATCTCAAATATTTAAGGAAAAATGTTGCTTCCAAAAGCTTCATCACACAGTAACGAACATTTTTGTGGAGAGAAAGAGTCAGCTAGAAAGAGGGAGACAGCCAACAGAATAAAGTCGTGAAAAAGGGTAGAGAGAGGGGAAGACGGATGCAGACAGTGAGTAAGAGCAGGAAGATTCATCCAGGGACATCAAAGTAAACCAGAGATGAAAGAGCTTATCAGGTGTGGAAATGAACCTGACCATCGCGTTAGGTTACATGTCGGTTCCCTGAGTCTAACCTACGTAGCAGAATGTGAAACGCACACAGGAGAAGATTCAAAACTCTGATAAATACTTTTAATTAGCTTCCATAACATTTTCATCAATACTTCTAATATCTACAAATAAGAAATGTACATTACAAATTAAATGCTTATAAATTCTAATCATCTTTGTCATCTCAGGCCATGCAAATCTTGATTTTTGAAGAAAAACTATTTGATCTTAGGCAAACAGAACTCTACATACAGTGTTCAGTGTTTAAGTTTTCGACAATTTTTTTTTACATCTTGTCAAAAAATTTACACTGATATTGAATTTAATGTGAAAAAGTAAAAGATATCGTCAAATGGAAGGAAAATTTAATGATAAAAACTATTAAAATGATCACAATATTTTAATCTAATAAATCTAACAGTTCAAAAATTATCTAAAATTAGGAAAAAAAATCTTACATTTAGATTATTTACCCTTTATTTAAGTAGGTAAATAAGATGATCTGCCAATGGAATGAGCATTTTTACTCTTTAAGAAAGCTAATTAGATGTACTTGAAATAAGACAATGCAATTTTATCTTATTGTAAATGTAAATCGTTTTGCTCCATTTCCAAAGTACTTACCTCCTCAAATCAAGACAAAACATACTTATTTTGAGAAAAAAAACAAACTTATTTAGATTCATTTTTTGCAGTGAATAAATATAATCCCTAAATGGTTAAGCAAATACAAGAAAATTGTTGCTTGCCTACTGTGTGTATTCTAAGATCCACTAAGCAAAGACATAGAGCTCCAACTTTTGCTTTAATTACAGTTGCAGTGTTATTTAATGTTTCCCAGACATTTAAGTTTAAGAAAACAGCCAATCGATGGTAGGTTTGTAGTTGCTCCTTAATATAGGTTTATTTTGGATAAGATGACACATGAAGCAAGATTTCACATTGGATATTAGTAAGGGGCATCAAATTACAGGTAGTTGAATAATAATGAATGCTACACTGTTTTTTCTTTTTTTTCCTTTTTTCTTTTTGTTGTGTTAAATGAAAATAAGTTTGTAGCTATAAAGTTGCAAAATGAAAGAACTTTGAAAGGGTATAAACAAATATGGGTAGTAACTAGTTAGATTTACATAGGTTTCTTTAAGTAACATTTTGAAAGAAATGTACTACTATACTTTTTACTTTCACTTTTTAAAAACTTTAACTTAAAAAAATACTTTCAAGAAGTACTAGTATCATGAAGTATCACTACTCTTACTTGAGTAAAATCTTTGGTTATTCGACCCTCTGTGAGTAACTTTACTAAAATACAACAAGCTTATTTTAACCTAAAATGCAAAAGACACAGACAGACAGTTAAAAAATCACTTAAAGAGTTTATGCGGTCGATATATAATGAATATAAAATAAATCATTGGCACTGGAGGTACTTTATACAGTTGGGTCATATATACATACACTTTAAGAAATGGTTGCATGTATTTTATGTTAGAAAAATGGGATTTTAAAAGTCTTTTTTTCTGCCTCTGTTTATTTTCCAAATATATATCCATTTTTATAATACCTATTATCTTTTTGCCTTAATGCAAAAGGAGTTTGCCCATAAATTTATATTATGATCTGTCCGATTACATCATTTTAAATAGTAATACAGTTACTCGGTACTTTATAAAATTTTTTAACAGCTACTTTTTACTTTAACTTAAGCAAAAATATGTTGAAGCTGTGGTATTTTTATTTGAGTACAATGTTTTGGTACCTGCAAACCTCTGGGTATAAAGAATCTCACTAGGCTGAGTGAGCTTAGTTTATTCAGTGCAATGGCTACTGAGTTGCTCTTTAATTTAAGTTTTCATTAGGTTTTCCAAAGAAATTAAGTTTAATAAATATGATGAAATGCACTTCTTTTTAGGCAATAAGAAGCATCAGATCCTGCCAACATAAGAAGTGTTGCTTTGAGATTGACTGAGTAGAATTGTAGTACCCCATGTTTAGGAAGCATGTCATTTTCAGTACAAAGTTAAATGGGAAACCATATCCTAAATAATTAATAGGTTTGAAAAAAAAGCAGTGGTTCAATATAACTGATCTTATTTGGTGCATAATAATGATAATATGCAGCGTTTTTGTTGTGCATTTCATCTGCACAGTCCACAAGGCTTTGCACCAACACAAAGCAACTTCCTCTCCCTGCCTCCCCTCTCTGCAGGCCTCAGGGCTGTGTAGCAGCACCACAGTCTAATGCCATTATTCCTAATCCATCCTAAACCCTCCTAATCCATGGCTAATCTGGAGGAGAGCTTTCGGAGTTTAAACTCACTCGTCCCTGCTGTTCCCACCCCTCAACACACACACACAGGAGCACACACCTATACATACAGGTGCTGGTCATAAAATTAGAATATCATGAAAAAGTAGATTGATTTCAGTAATTCCATTTAAAAAGTGAAACTTGTATATTATATTCATACATTACATACAAACTCATATATTTCAGATGTTTATTTTGTTTAATTTTGATGATTACAAATGACAACAAATGAAAATCTCAAATTCATCATATCAGAAAATTAGAATATTACTGAAGACCAATAAAAACAAAGGATTTATAGAAATGTTGGCCAACTGAAAAGTATGAACATGAAAAGTATGAGCATGTACAGCACTCAGTATTTAGTTGGGCCTCCTTTGGCCTGTATTACTGCAGCAATGCGGCGTGGCATGGAGTCGATCAGTCTGTGGCACTGCTCAGGTGTTATGATAGCCCAGGTTGCTCGAATAGTGGCTTTCAGCTCTTCTGAATTGTTGGGTCTGGTGTATTGCATCTTCTTCTTCACAATACCCCATAGATTTTCTATGGGGTTAAGGTCAGGAGAGTTTGCTGGCCAATTAAGGACAGGGATACCATGGTCCTTCAACCAGGTACTGGTAGCTTTGGCACTGTGTGCAGGTGCCAAGTCCTGTTGGAAAATGAAATCTGCATCTCCAAAAAGTTGGTCAGCTGCAGGAAGCATGAAGTGCTCTAAAACTTCCTGGTATGCGGCTGCGTTGACCCTGGACCTCAGAAAACACAATGGACCAACACCAGCAGATGACATGGCACCCCAAACCATCACTGACTGTGGAAACATTACACTGGACTTCAAGCAACGTGGATGAAGTGCCTCTCTTCTTTTCCTCCAGACTCTGGGACCTTGATTTCCAAAGGAAATGCAAAATTTACTTTCATCAGAGAACATGACTTTGGACCACTCACCAGCAGTCCAGTCCTGTTTCTCTTTAGCCCAGGCAAGACGCTTCTGACGCTGTCTGTGGTTCAAGAGTGGCTTGACACAAGGAATGCGACAGCAGAAACCCATGTCTTTCATACGTCTGTGTGTGGTGGTTCTTGAAGCACTCACTCCAGCTGCAGTCCACTCTTTGTGAATCTCCCCCACATTTTTGAAGGGGTTTTGTTTCACAATCCTCTCCAGGGTGCGGTTATCTCTCTTGCTTGTACACTTTTTTCGACCACATCTTTTCCTTCCCTTCGCCTCTCTATTAATGTGCTTGGACACTGAGCTCTGTGAACAGCCAGCCTCTTTAGCGATGACCTTTTGTGTCTTGCCCTCCTTGTGCAAGGTGCCGATGGTCGTCTTTTGGACAACTGTCAAGTCAGCAGTCTTCCCCATGATTGTGTAGCCTATAGAACTAGACTGAAAGACCATTTAAAGGCTTTTGCAGGTGGTTTGAGTTAATTAGCTGATTAGAGTGTGGCACCAGGGGCCATCAATTTTGAACCTTTTCACAATATTCTAATTTTCTGATATGATGAATTTGAGATTTTCATTTGTTGTCATTTGTAATCATCAAAATTAAACAAAATAAACATCTGAAATATATGAGTTTGTATGTAATGTATGAATATAATATACAAGTTTCACTTTTTAAATGGAATTACTGAAATCAATCTACTTTTTCATGATATTCTAATTTTATGACCAGCACCTGTACACATAGTTTGTTACTTCCTTAGAGGGAGGATTTATCACAGCAACACACACACTATAGGATTGGATAATAAACACTCGCATAAAGCCCACGTTTCATACCCACCTCTGTATACGTATACAAATGAAATGTATTTCAACAAAAAAGTATTTTCTAACATGTACACTTCACTGCTGGCTCCTGCATATGTTAGTGGGAGACATTTGATAAGTTCACAGTCTATCTGCCTATCCTGAGCAGGGAGGATTAGCCTGGGATAATCTGCATGTTTGTTTTTGCATTTATGTGTGTGTCTGTATATTTTTTGTACAGTTTGCCTCAGAATCCACAATTTTCCCCCGGTCGTCTTTTCTCCCCCTCATTCTTTCTCTCACCCACCTTTTCCTTAACTCCCAGTGGCAGGAATTTTTCACTCTTACCTCTTGAGAGAGGAAAGGGATGACTTGGGCACAGATTGCATTCAGGCGCTTGACGATCTCTGCCTGTAAGACAGAGGGACAGGCAAAGAGGACAAAATCATCAAATACACAAGGTGTCATTTTCAGGTGATTAGATGACTGAGCTTTACTATTTAGGAAAAACTAGGCATGGGTATCATTGAAAACCTCATGATTCAATTTGAGTTTTATTCATTGGGCCACAGTTCGATTAAATATCTATGTATCTGATTGAATATTTACCTAAAATCTTTGATAATGATTTTGCATAATATAACTATCCAATTGTTTAAAGAGTACCTTTTCTTCTCTACATGAATATACATACTAAACCAGTTCCTATGTGGATACTTTTGAGCAATAAAATGTAAATATAGGGTAAAAAGGAAAATAAATAAGCATACTGAAATAACATTTAAGCAAGGTCGTGTAAGCCTAAACTTTTTTCTTTCTCTCTTAGAATCTGGCTTAATTCCCATCAACTGTAAAAATACTGTATTTGTAAATGCACACTTTTGTTGTGGCGCCACAAAAAAACAGTATAGTGTACAACAAGAAGGTATAGCACAACAGGACATCCATGGATTGAACAACTGACCCATCCAGGAGGTTTAAAAGGTAACATCTAGAATGCAATGCACCTCCCATTAGATGCCGACTTTACCTCTTACTGCTGTCATTGTGATCAACATTTTTATGGTGAGGTTTTGGAGGTTCATTATTGCACTGACACCTTATCAGGATCCTGGGAGCAGGAAGGAAGACCCTTTTAGACCCTTTAGACTTTCCCATGGCATTTGACCTTGGTTTCCCCTACTTGGATTGGCCAGTGGAAAATTTGAAGCAGACCTGGTCTTGCTTGTTTCATTGTATAGCTACAATCTTATCACAACCACATCAGGGTAGCAATAAGTAATTTACTCTAATGCTCTTGGTATAACAGCTGGTGGAAGAAGTGCACACACCTCAATATTACACATATTGGCTGGTTTCAGGGAGAGTTGGGGGAAACATGTTTTTCAAGCTGTGTTTCAAATAAAAAAATGTATAGGTCACGCTCTCATTGGCAAGGTCTGGCATCAAATTGAGTAAAAAGGTGGGAGGAGGTCATGCACATCCTGCAGTGATCTTTGGAAAACAGGATACCCTCTAAATCAGGCATCCCCAACCTTGGTCCTCAAGGCCCACTGTCCTGTGGGTTTTAGAGGTTTCCCTGCTTTAACACAGCTGATTATAATGATGCAGTAGACCAAAAGCCTGTTAATCAGCTTTCAATTAAAATCAGCTGTGCTGGAGCAAGGAAACCTCTGAAACTTGCAGGACAGCGGGCCTCAAGGACCGAAGTTGGGAATGCCTGCTCTAAATGCTCTTTCCAAGCGTGACATTTTCACAATGCAACAGATTATATGTGTGGTTGTATAATTATTCCCATGAATGGTTGATCATAATTTTTCTCCAATTGTCATAAAGTCAACATAGTCAGTAAAGAATCTTTGTATATGTCTCAGACAAAACCCAGATTTTTACAGGTCTCGTTTTAAAAAAGTCAGCAAAGAAAGAAGGTGCGGCAAGGAAAATGTTCGTAAATTAAAGTCCGCACAAGACAAGCGGTTGCTGAGACTGCCGGGGAATCAATACGCATGCAAAAAAAAAGCTAATTTAGCTCCTGTTTTTGTAAATGAAATGCTTTGTAACATAGATTGAAATTCTGTATATTCTGAATTTAATAATAATTTAGTATTTTAGATGGGTCAATTTTAAAGACATTTAGATTACCGGTAAGCAAATAATGAAATTGAAATCTTGTGATAATTGCTAAATATCTACTTGTAACTATAATTTTACTTTTATTTTAAGTTTCAAAATTAGAATTTCTATATTGACCTAAATAATCAAAATAACTAAAATAACTATAATATAAAATATCCCCAAATGATTTCTTGAAGACCCAAGTTCCATATCAACATAAAATTACAACATAAAACAATAATATTCGAAAAAGACTCACACATTTTTTTCAGAAAGACTTTACTCAAAGATGGCTGTCAAAAACAACACTGCCCTCAACAAAGAGCCCAATTAAAATATATCCCTAGACAGTTTAGGTGAGTACCTGATTTTATTTAGATGACTCCAGATGTCTTGCAACAAGAGGCACCAATCAATTCAAATGTTGCAGAACAAACTAGGAATAACATAGAATGTTACCTAACAGTTAATCTGAAAAGTTAAACATGTATTTAAAAATTAGGATTGTACTATATGGAAATTAACTTTAATGATAATAACTGGTATCTTTATTGTGTTTAACATTTCAACATTGAACTTTCAAGATGGGAAATTTTAAACTTCAGATAATACGGTTAAAAAATCTTAAGAAAAAGAACTGTGAGATACTTTTGTCCTTTCCTGATGCCATGTAAAGGGCAAAACTAACAATTTATCTTCACAGAAAATGAATTGCAATAAAAAATAAGAAGTGTAGCACCTACACAGTTTGGGTTATAAATGTGCCATGGAGGAAGCCAATAAAAGTCTTAAAAAAAAAAAAAAAAAAAAAAAAAAAATTCTTTTCACAGTGAGAAAGAAACCTTTTAAGTTGTATAACTGAAGAGCTGTCACTTAAGGTGCAGATTTGGATGTGGTGTCATGATCATCCGAACATGAATGAGAGTGTAAATGTTTACATCCCAAGCAAGTGTGTGCATTTCACTGTGCCGTAAGAACTGTGATTTGTCACAAGCAAAATACACAACGACTCTGCAATTATCATCACATTCATAACATGCATCACCCAAATTATTGCAGTTGGCACTACTGCAAATACCATCATTAAATTGTCTTTGAAACTACAAAAAAGCCTCAAGAGGAGAATTTGTGTGCACTAGAAATACTGTAGTGCTCCCACATAAACAAACATAATGAATGATGAAGGATGAAGCTTTCATCTGCTCCATTTTTATGAAATAATTTTAACACTCCCAACATTTTCACCCCCTCACAGTCAAGTGCATATTCGTCGGAGTACGTGAGCATCATTCCTGAGTGGGAGCAATCCATATTTGGCATTGAAATTCAGCATCAACTTTTCCAATCAAGGTGTACTGTGCTATCTTAATAGGTCTAAAAGTATTAAATATCAACACATTTTAGGTGAATACCCATTACAGCACCTATGAGAATGTCTATGTGGGCCAACATCTTCACAAAAGATGAAGTTAAGAAGTAAATTTTAACCTACCTGTAACTTTAGGTGAGCCCCTCAAAAAGTTTGCAACAGAGACAGACTGGTTTCATAGGAAAGAAACAGCCTACAACAGCTTGCTTATTTTTTAATATAGTTGGTCCTATAAATATTTAATAAAGCTTTAAAAAGCAAAATCCTGGGTCTTAGGTAAGATGCATGCAGCAGCTTGTGGGTCTAGTCAAGAATTGAAAGAGTTATCAAACAACTTGAAGTCAGGCAACAGAGTATGCATGTGGAGGGCATTCAAAACAAATGCAGATATACATTTGTCTGGCTTTTTAAACCAGTTCACACTGAGAGAAGATTGCAGTATGCAGAGGCGTAGCAAGAAAATTTTTATAGGGGTGGCCAGGACAACACCAATGTGCATTGAGAGGTGGCCAAAAGCAGACATACGCCAGAACCTCAGGGTGAATCTACACTTTCCAACTGGAAAATGAACAAGCTCATTATCCATATTTTGCAAATAAAGACTAACTAGGTTTTTCTAAAGCCCTTGCTAATAAATAAACAAATGTACACCTCCAGGCTGTCTAAACTAAAAGTATAGTGAACGATCTTCTTTCAGCTATGAGTTCTGAGGTTAACATATTGTCATTTTCTACGTGCATTTCTGGAAAAAAATGTCAACTATAATTTTATTAATAACTGTTGTGCATAATATTAATACTTTCATCTACTAATCCCTACATTAAATGGATTTTGTTGTTATTTATATCCAACTACATTGAAGACTTGGGTGACAGCAGATACATAACTTTTTCTTCTTTACTGTAAAACAGAAAAACTAGTTCTGAAAGGAGTATGAATTCAATATTTATAATCTTATATATATATATATATATATATATATATATATATATATATATATATATATATATATATATATATATATATATATATATATATATATATATACTGCTGCCACCCTCTGTTTAAGAGGGGAACTTTTTGTGAATTTTATGTACATGGGATTACTATACATGGTAGGGGTGGCCAAAGGGGTGGCCAATGATAGGCTACCTCGGCCCCTGGAAATATGTAAATAAGAAATCCCTCTTAATGTCATATTGGAACCTACAGCAGGCTCATTATGAAAGTAAACGTCTGTATAATTATAAAGTGTCTACGTACACAAGTTTTTCTGTCATGGTAGGTTTAAGGAAACCTTCACTTTGCAGAAGAAACATGAAGTCCAAACTAAAAGTCGCCAGACTTAAGCCTCTACAAAGACAAAGACAGTTTAAGACTTCTGCAAATTGGAGTTCCTAGATCCTGTTTCAGACTCCCATTCATTCACCTTTTGTGTGGTCAACAGTAAAAACACTATCGTAGGTAGGACAGGAACTTTGGACAGCTGTGCTGAATACAGACAGCCTTCGGATGCCATTACAAAAAGGAAAATTCACATGGATGATGCAAATCAAAACTGGGACTACCGGCTTCTAAAACAGAACCAAAAATAATAAAGTTACACAAAAACGACTAAAGCTTTCCGTTACAAAACCCAAAATATATCAACATTGAGTACCGCATATGTAGCTTAGCTCTTCATTCTCATTTAAATCCCATGAGTTTAAATGATACACAGATAAAATCAGTGTAATTGGATGCGATCCATATGAAGTCCCTGCAGACATTTTTCAACAGCTTTCTTACAACTGCAGGCTTTCAGATTTGTCCTTTCATGCCTTATATATCTTATGCAAAATCCGTCCTCATAAAACAGGGAAACTCTAAAAGCTTATAAAAACGCAGATGCCTATTGGTACTTCACAGCAGGCTGGGTTATTGAACC